TTCACGCCATTAAACTTAGGGAGTAAATATTTTGGATAAAAACCATAATGTGGGAAAGAGACCATACGTTGCTGCCAACATCAAGGAAGCAAGATTGCCAAGGTTTGTAATGTCATGTCATTTTGACATTTGCTATTGATAATTTGACAAATGCAAACAATAAATTTATATTTTCATGCGGATGAAGCTGCACGCGAACAGCTAGTTATAAATAAACTTCCTTTATAAGCGAGATGCAAAACTAGATGTCTGGGGGCCCTATTATAAACCTACAAGGATCATATGGCAGTTGTCAATTTAGTAAACTAACATAACAATGTCATCATTAAAGCGCCATATTTTGACCAATGAGGGAGCGGCGAGGGAATGTCGCCATATTTAAATTTTCGAAATTCAAGAAAAATAACACATGTGGCGTTTAGTCTGATAAGTAATGATGCCTATTTTTAGCAACATTTTTCCTATCCTTTTCTTACAAAATAATTCTTAAGGCAAAGGCGGCTTTGCGATTTCAAAAAATTCAGATGGCCGCTTTTTCAAAACCATCTTATAAATAAACTTGGATGAAATGCATAATTGTACTTTATTAAAAAAAAACAATTGTATTCATGTATTTTTATTAAAAACTTTTATCTTTGATAGATCTAGCGCCATTAATTACGGTCACCCCCTGTTCTTCTGCCAAATCTGCTATCTTTGCTACGTCCAGAATTCTTGTCACTTTCACGACCACCTTCGAGATCTTCGCCATCTTTGCGAAGTCCACCATCTTTGGATTCCTTTCCAGCTCCCCTGCCAGCCAGGGATCTTCGCAATCCACGATTGATTCCGGCAACTCCAAAATCTTCATCAAATCCTACCTGGTATTTGTCTTTGAAACAATTAAAACAAAAACTGAATTTTAATGTTAGAATCTTAATATTAATTATCTAAATATGTAAATGCGAAAATTTAGATAGATGTTTGTTAGTTTGTAGCCTATACTGCTGAACGGATCTTGATGACATTTAGCATAGCTGTAGAGGATAGTCTGGAAGAACACATGGGCTACTTACATTTGTTATTTAATTCCAATGGACGTAGTCGTAAGCGAAAGCTAGTCTTCCTAATACTATAAATGCAATAATTTAGATGCATGGATTCTAGAGTTTGTAGCCTAAACTGCTGAACAGAAATTGATGAAATTTAGCATAGATGTAGAAGATAGTCTAGAAGAACACATAGGCTATTTTGTTTTTTAATTCCACGCGGACGGAGTCGCGGGCGAAAGCTAGAGTTAAATTAATTACTCTCACCATCTCGAGATACTGGTAGACCAATAACCAAAGCTGTAATCTGAAAAATAGACAAAAAAAATTAAAGTGATCGACAGAAATCGTCGTTGACTTTCTCGGAATAAATACTTGTTTGGCAATAGCGGCAAATTCGATATACAAACTCGGACTTCGAGCTACCACAAGTGACAGCATTTACACGGTATTTCTGACAACTCGATCTGCGTTCTCTTAGTATATAAATTAAAAGACTTACCATAAGAAACAACAATAGAACTTTAAACTCCATCATGAATATTTTTAGACTAAAGAATTAGACAAAGGATTAGATTATATATAGTTGCGTCGTATTACCAAAACCCTTACATTCTTTGCATATTAATTTTGATGACGACAATGACCATATTTATACTAATATAATAAAGAACAAAGTCTGTTTCTTTGTATGCAATTAATAAACTCAAAACTACTCAACTAATAAACCGATTTCAATAATTCTTTTACTAGTTAAAAGGTAAATTATCTCACAGTAACAGGCTGTATGTATTACCAGGGCAGTAATGCAACGACTTTTCTTAATTTATGTGGCAGAATTCAAATAAAATCGCGGCTTTAAGTTGTATTTCTTAATCGACGTTTCTGTGGACACAGGTGACAATTCTTAAATCTACTTTAGAAGTAGTTTTAAATGTTTAGTTTTAAAATTTATATGAATTTTTAGAAAATTCTATTCTAACGCAAATATTATTCTAAGGTGGGGTTGCGAGGGTGTTCTTGCCAGGCTAGGATTAGGCAAGCCGGTTCCAACATGTTTAGAAACATGAGCTCTTTCATATAATGTAGGTTTTATCAAGAAATCTGATGAGGGAAGGAAAAACGCTTTAGATCTTAGATATTTATTACATATTAGTGTTGTTGCAATCCAAAATTATATTTTGTCTAAAACTAAAAAAAAAACGCAATTTTATTGATACTTTATTACTAAAACACTTTTTGGAATTGAAAAATGATTTTACGCGGATTTAATCACGGTTACCGGGTCCTCGTTTGCTGCCAATTCCAGCATCTCTGCCACGTCCAGAATTCTTGTTATTTTTAGGATCTTCGTCATCTTCGCGTCGAAATCCATTTTTTGAACGTTTGCCACCTCCTCTGCCACGCTGGGAACCTCGCAATCTAAGATCTGAACCGCCAACATCAACATCACCGTCAAGATCTAACCCGCTTTCATCTTTAAAAGAATTAAAAAAAACGTTTAAAAATTATCAAACCGTCCCTTCTTAACATGAATACGTGGACGAGAAATAGTGCAATGCGTGTTACCACTGAATCTTCACTTTCATTTTGATTTATTATCAACAAAAAACAACTAGTTATAAGTTGTAAGCCTTACTATACGAGTATATCATATCATACTAATATTATAAATGCGAAAGTTTACATGGATGGATAGATGAATGTTTGTTAGAGTTCGATGAAATAAGTTATAAATGTGGAGGATAGTCTGGAAGAACACATACATAGGCTACTCACTTTTGTTTTTTTTTTTTAAATTCCACGCGGACGGAGTCGCGTTAGTCAAAAATAACTTAAAACGATTCGTATAACTTGGTTAATGAGTCAAAAGATAAAAATAATTAAAAAAATCACATTGTCTTTTGGTTTAACCAATATTTTATCTATTATTTGTAAAACCCAGACGCTTTTAGATCTAATTCAAGTATTCTTTTTTTAAACCTGCTCCATATCCGATATATGTTTCATCTCCGCGACCATTTCCACCTTTGGAACGTCTTCCTTGCCTTTTGCCTCCGCGCTTTAAGCCTCCGATTCCAAGAGCTGTGCCGTCAAGTCCGAGATCTACCCCGCCATTATCTATTAAAAAATCGTCCAAAATAAAATATGAACATCAAAATTCATTTATTTAAAAGGATAAATTGTATTACTCACCATCTTGGGGCAAGGGTAAAGCAATAACCATAGCTGCAATCTAAAAAAATTACCAATTAAATTAAAGAGATATGGCAGATCAAGTTGTTATTATATTGCGACGAATACACAGTTTATTTCTTTTTGTTGATGCAATGTAAAAACTCGAAGCGTCTAAGGACGGTTGAACTTGTCGGAGCTACCAAGCGACAATATTTCTAACAAGTCGATCTGCGTTCTCTTTTCAAAAACTTATTCACCATTAAAAAATCTTACCACAAGTAACAACAATAGAACTTTAAACTCCATCATGATTTTTTTTAGACTAAAGAATTAGACAAAGGATTAGATTATATACAGTTGCGTCGTATTACCAAAACCCTTACATTCTTTGCATATTAATTTTGATGACGACAATGACCATATTTATACTAATATAATAAAAAACAAAGTTTGTATCCTTGTATGTAATTAATAAACTGAAAACTACTCAACTAATAAACCGATTTCAACAATTCTTTTACTAGTTAAAAGGTAAATTATCTCAAAGTAACAGGCAATTATCTGTATGTATTACTAGACATTCCCATTCCCCGCGATGGAGTACAAACAAAATCTTTTACTTTACGTGGCCGAATTCAAGTAAATTAAAGTAAAACCGCGGCTTTAAGTTGTATTTCTTAATCAACGTTTCTGTGGACACAGGTGATCATTTTTAGATAGTGCTTGTCAACTGTTTAGGCACACAAGTATATGGTGACCAGGAAAGACGTGTACAATTAACTACCACAGAATCGCTACTATAGATTTTACATTTATTCTAATATGTTGAAAATAATAGATTTTAATCAGATTGTGTATCTGTACTTCTATACTATTATAATAAATCGTAAAAACACACTTCTTTGTTGCCTAAGATGTCAGCAATTACAGCATATTTTTTAATAATTCTTTCTTTAATAAAAAGCCCTACATTTACGTCAAGCTTTACGCTATATATTTTCACGCTACTAAACTTAGGGGGTATATATTTTGGATAAAAACCCTAATGTGGGAAAGAGACCATAAGTTACTGCCAACATCAAGGGAGAAAAGTTGACGTGGTTTGTCATAATTTCATGTCATTTTGACATATGCAATTGATAATTTGACACACGTAAACATCAAAATAAAATTTTCATAATTCTATGCGGATGAAGTCGCATGGGAACAGCTTGTATTATAATAAATCGTAAAAACACACTTCTTTGATGCAGATGGCAGCATATTTTTTAATAATTCTTTCTTTAATAAAAAGCCCTACATTGACGTCAGGCTTTACGCTATATATTTCACGCCATTAAACTTAGAGGGTAAATATTTTAGATAAAAACCCTAATGTGGGAAAGAGACCATAAGTTGCTGCCAACATCAAGGAAGCAAGGCTGCCATGGTTTGTCATCGTCATGTCATTTTGACTTTTGCAATTGATAATTTGACATATGTAAACAATAAAATAAAATTTTCATTATTTTATGCGAATGAAGTTGCACGGGAACAGCTAGTCTTCAATAAGTAGTGAGCATAAACAGTATAACTGACTTTCTTACTATATAAATGCGAAAGTTTAGATAGATGCATGAATGGATGTTTGTTAGAATTTGAAACTAAAATGCTGAACGAATCGCGATGGAATTGGGACTAGATATAGAGGATAGTCGGGAAGAACATATAACTGGCTTTTGTTTTTTTTTCAATACCATGCGAACAAAACTAGAAAGCTAGAATAAAAAATGAAATAAAAACCAATATTTTATTCATGTTTTATTAATGAAACACTTTTTTGACTCTATTTAACGAATTTTCGCGAATTTAATTACTATTGCCACATCATTTGTTGCCAATTTCGTCATCTCTGCCACGTCCAGAATTCTTAAGACTGGTCGTTGTTGCGAACTCTTTCACTTTTAGATCGTTTACCACCTCTTTTGCGGCCCCCGGAAACGCCAAATGCAAGATCTCCTTTACCTTCTAACCCGCTTTTATCTTAAAAATAATTAAAATAGGTTATTTCAGAACAACTCATCATCCCAATATGGCTCGGGGAAGCAGACGGCTCTAATTTTAGAGACGAAAAAAGAAAGTGTGCGAAAGAACTCAATTTGTTTACTTTTTTTTAGAATTCGAATACTTTATAGTGTGTCTAAATAATTTGGATTAGTTTGACAATTCACTTAAAATTTAGTAGGGATGGGTTGTGTAAAATCAGTCATGAATCTTATCGATTTTCGATTTTTATTCTTATAGAAGTTGGAATCAATAGCTTTATAGTTATAACTTATCAATTTAAAAACAAAAACACTGTTTTCTCAAATTAATAATGACCATAACAAATAATGAGAGTAAATAAATGTTTATTACTACTACAGCCGTACCGTAAGCGAATTATTCGCTATTATTTCTGTCATCGCTAAATTCTCTACACTATAATCAACACTAGAATTGTCCTCGAAATTAGTGAATAAGAAAATAATAATTTTAGTTGAGTTTGTTAATTATTTACACCGAATATCGATAGTTCAAAATTGATCGCTATGTGTGTTTGTTCGTCACTACGATAGCTGTCTATTAAGTATGGCATTTGACTTCATATAAAATGAATTCGGTACTTCATATGCGTCATTTATCAAACTAATCTAAATTATTTAGACACACTTATAGATGTTTTGTACTAATTACATACTCTATGATACCAGAGAATAAGACAAAGGTCACCACAATTCATCAAAATTGGTTCAATCGTTGAGTGCCACAAAGAAATTTGCATAAGCACAAACCCACATACACAAAGCAAAATACGCGCGAGTAACCTTGCCCTATTTGTCAGTGGGGGTAAAACACTAATAATCTTTGATCTATGCTATATAGCATCAGTTTTTCCGTATAAATGTGACGTGTGGACCTTTAAAAATAAAGTAAACAGCTAGCTAGCTAAACTAGCGCATTTGAGACCTGCTCCAAACTCGAGATCTCCCTTATCTCCGCGACGTCTTCCACCTTTGGAACCATGCCTTTTGCCACGCTCTAAGTTTCCGAATCCAAGAGCGCCGTCAAGTCCAAGATCTACTTCGCCGTCTATAAAATTTATACAAAATTGTTTAAAACAAACATCAAAAGGGTAATTTAAATTAAAATGATTAATGGATTACTTAAATTACTCACCATCTTGGGGCAAGGGTACAGCAATAACCGTAGCTGCGATCTAAAAAAATTAAAGAGATATGGCAGATCAAGTTGTAACTATATTGCGAAGAATACACAATTTATTTCTTTTTGTCGGAGGTACCAAGCGACAATATTTCCACGGTATTTCTAACAAATCGATCTGCGTTCTCTTTTTGAATTCAAAAACTTACCCACCATTAAAAAACTTACCACAAGTAACAATAATAGAACTTTAAACTCCATCATGAATATTTTTCGTAGACTAAAGAATTAGACAATGGTCCAAATTATATATAGTTGTGTTGTATTACCAAAACCCTTAAAATATTCTTTCTTTGCTCATCGATTTTGTTTGACCATGGCCATATTGCATGAAAATGTATGATTATTTGTATGTCAGTTTCATTGTTATTCTGGCAGCCTTAATATTTAAAAAAAGCTTAATTTAGAAAGCAAAAAACTGTTCGTATTCTTTCTTCGATTGTTATAAATGTGAATCAGTCGAAGTTTGATCAAATTAAAGCATTTTTGTTCTTTTACGTTTTTTTTGCTTCAATATTTTTTTTAAGGAGATTTAAGTAAAACCGTTAGTTTACATTGTATTTCTAAATGAACGTTTTTATTGACACAGGTGATTTTTAGATTTTAGAATAGTTATTTGAAAATACTGAATTCCTAAAAATTTAAAGTAAAGTATAGGATAATTAAACACATAAATAATATGCTAAATTAATTATTACAAATGGAGACGTTACGTATTCGTTTTAAAATATTGAATTGAAAAATAATAAATGACAAAAAATGAGATGCAGAATGCTCGTGACATTTTATTCATCTGTCATATTTGTTATCTGTCATTCATCAATTTTAATTTCTTCTGTCAACGCGGTTCATTTGATTTCAAATGTGAAATTATCGATTTATTCACTGTAAATATATGTAAAACGTCATTTAAGAAAAATATTAAAAAGTGTATTAGTGTGCGTGTAAAATAAAAAAAGTCTGTGTTTGTAATTATAATTTTCCTTAATGATAATTTAACCTCAACCTTGAAAAACATATTTTTTGCGTCTATATTGTTATAAAGCAATTATCATAGCCTTCGTTTAATTATTTTCCTTAAAGCAACTTAAACGAGGTAAGTTTTTAATACTCAAAATTATTAATAAGTTTAAGATACACAAAATCAAGTATAGGTTAAGATTCGATTATGTCATATTTTATGTATTATGAAATTCCAATATATCAGCTACACATATATCAGTATTGTATTAAAATTATCTCCAGAATATATATTATTTAATAAAACTTTAAGTAACAACTAATATCCATCCATTACCCATTAAATGTGTCTATAAAAGGAAAATAAGAGCAAGGTCAGATTAAATTATCTTTTTATGTTAATACAAGCTAATTCGTAACTATCTTTAATCTATATTATCGATTACATCTGATATATCTGCTCAGAATTATAAAAAAGTTATAAATACACCTTGTCAATCAGTAACTTTTATGAGTTGAAAGGATTTTTTAAATCAATTCAGTAGTTTTTAACTTTATTAATCACATACAAAAATGCAAATATTCATTTTATAAAGCACTAACTTTCGCCCGCAACTCCGTCCGCGTGGAATTAAAAAAAAAACAAAAGTGAGTAGCCTATGTGTTCTTCCAGTCTATCATCTATGTTTATGCCAAATTTCATCAAGATCCGTTCAGCTGTTTAGGCTACAAACTCTAACAAACATACATCCATCTAAACTTATAATATTAGTAAGATGGTACACACTTGGGCTGTACAGTTAGACAATTATGACAGCCGGTCAAAAATTGTGCTGACCGCACCAGTTAGAATTTACATTATACCAGTCGATTGCCAGTCCAGACCATACTATACAAGTGTAAACTGCACCAAGTATATAGATAACCAACTAACCATCACAACACATATAGTTTAAATTTTTTACGTTTTTAGTAAGTTTTTTTTTGTTATATCAGTTTCATTGTGGTCTGTGGGGGTCTGGTGATCCAACACACATTGCACCCTATTTTGGACACTAGTCCCCTGCCCAAAGGGGAAATTAATTAACCTACTGTTTTTAATTTATTTTTAACTAACTCTTGCTCGCGACTTCACTCATGTGAATGTAAAAAAATGTAGAAATATATCCTGTGTTACTCAGTGATAACATAGCTTTTTAAATGCAAGAATTTTTGAAATTGTCCCAGTAGTTTTTGAGTTATTCCAATACATACAAAAATCCAAAAATACAAATGTTTCCTCTTTATAATATTAGTATAGATAAAGCCTACATAAGTTGGAGTCTCCAAGGGACTGCAATATATTACATTAAGTTTTCTTAAATCCTTGTTTCTTGTTGATCATCAGTCACTTGACAATGAAACAAGCTTAGCTTAAGTATATTTGAGATTGGCTTGTTTGTCATTGGTAAGACTGTATTGTATTTTTACTTTCAGATACAAAATGGTGTAAACAAGGAATCGAAAATGAACACAAATTTAAAACACCTTAATATAACAAACCTAAAAACTCTTCTACGAATAACAAAAGTATCAAATATTAAAAGAACATTTTATCAAATTAAAGAACCGACCTGTTTATGTGGGTATGTCTACCATAGACAAGATAGAAATAGACTTATCCGTTTGTATTCCTCGCACACAGATCATCATAGACAAAAAGTAATTATAGAAACGTCAACACCTAAAATAGTTATAGACAAGAGAGATGATGTCCTCAGAGAAGAAAAAAGTATTGATGTTAGATTATCAACTTTATGGAAGAAAGTGGATCCTTATGTTAAGTTAGCAAGATGGGATAGACCTATTGGTAAGTTATATCCAACTTATTGAAGTTTTCATGAACATCTCATCTCCCATACCTTATCTTACTCCGTATTGTCAGCACTCCTACTCTATTGTCCGTCATCTCAGTCACTCCCTTCATCATGTCACCTTTCACACAATACATCCATCTCTTTCTACCCTCTACCTCTACCGGTGTACACTCAGAACATGTGATTCATCCCTGTTTCTTTTATAAGCATATGAGCTGTTGCCCGCGACTTCGTCCGCGTGGTATTAGAAAACATATGAACTATATAAATTACAAAAAGCTACGTGTCTATCTACAAACCGGACACCTCGGGCATGAAGCTTATCCCATGTATACTCCAGACTTTGTTTTATATCTGTGCCAAATTTCAATAAGATATGTTGAACCGTTGCAGAATGATGGAGTAAACATTAAAAAACTAAATTAATGAATCCCACGGGAACCGTAACTTATCCCGGGATAAAAAGTAGCCTATGTGTTCTTCCAGACTATCCTCTAAATCTGTACCAAATTTCATGGAGATCCGTTCAGCCGTTTAGGCTACAAACGCTAACAAACATCTATCCAGCTAAACTTTCGCATTTATAATATTAGTAAGATTATAAGATGTTCGTAAACTAATAAATTCGCAAGAGTGTTGGTGGCTCAGGGGTAAGCTTGTAATCTACAGGTCGGGTTCGAATCCCGCAATAATAATGTGATTTTAAAATATCGAATTTGATCATACTTCATACTAATATTATAAATGCAAAAGTTTAGATGGATGGATGGATGTTTGTATGCTAAAAGGCTGAAAGAATATCCATGAAATTTGGTCTAGATGTAGAGGATAGTCCGGTAGAACACATAGGCATAACTTTTGCTTTTTTAATTCCACGCCGACGGAATTGCGGGCGAAAGCTAGTATGTACATAATTTACTTGACATTGTTATGGTGAAGGAAAATATTGTGATGCACATATCGGCTAAGAAATTCAAAGATATGTGCGAAGTCAACTCATAGTGCAGCATGGTTGACTATAGCCTAGTCACCCTAACTTAGTATAGAGGAAGTAGCTAGTAGTTACAAGTACATAATCATACTTCATACTAATATTATAAATGCGAATGTTTAGATGGATGGATGTTTGTTAGAGTTTGTAGCCTAAACGGCTGAACCAGTTTCGATGAAATTTGGCATAGACATAGAGGATACTCTAAAAGAATACATAGGCTACTCAGTTTTGTTTTTTTTTTAATTACATGCAGACGGAGTCGCGGGCGAAGGCTAGTGAAACTACAAATGTACATTCTCCTTATATTGAGCTATTTTGGAGTATTAATAATTCTAGAAGTTGAAATTTTAAAATAATTATTTTAAAAAGCACTCAATAGATGGCGTTAATTTGTATTCAATACAATCATTTCATTTTTGTGTAACCCTACAGATGTAGTAATGTATTTTGCTCATATGTAAAGTTTCTATATATTCAGTTTTTTTTTTTTTATAACATAAGGTGGCAAACGAGCAAGCGGCCACCTGAAATCGCCAAAATGGCGAAGCGACCGCTGCCCATAGACATCCGCAATTGCAGATGCGTTGCCTACCCTTATACGACGCAGGAGGAGACGCACATAAAGAGGATATTTCCCGTTCCTATGCATCTCCTTCACCATCAAATCCACTTCCTCTTCCCAACATCTGCTTAAAAGAAAAGGGTGGTAAAGAGAAAGGGATTTAAATTAGGCTTCCGGCACCACACTCATCAGACGAAACACGGAAATGCTTCCATTTCATGCCTGTCTTCTGTGTGGTCGTGGTATTGCACCGGGCGTGCCGGCCCATTCGTGCTAAGATGTTAAAGCGGGCACTATCACTGTTAAATTTTAGGTTAAGGTTTAATTTATTATTATTTTCAGGTGTGTACCTCCTATATTGGCCTTGTTCGTGGTCGATAGCGTTAGCTTCCATCCCGGGCAATGTGCCCCTACATGTGACATTGCAGACAGCAGGCCTGTTTCTATTGGGTGCGGGGTTGATGAGAGGTGCTGGATGTACCATTAATGATATGTGGGATAAAGATGTGGATGCTCAAGTAAGTTGATGTTAACTTGCAAACTGTTCCTTACCACAATAATTACTCCTTAAGTTTAGTAGCGTGAAAATATATAACTTGTAAGTGTAGGGCTTTTTATTTAAAAAACTAGCTGTTCCCATGCGGTTTCATCCGCATGAAATTATGAAAATTTAATTTAATTTTTTACATGTCAAATTGTCAATAGCAAATGTCAAAATGACATGACATGACAAACCTTAGCAAACTTTCTTTCTTGATGTTGGCAGCAACTTATGGTCTCTTTCCCACATTAGGGTTTTTATCCAAAATATTTACCCCCTAAGTTTAAATGCGTGAAAATATATAGTCTAAAGCGTGACGTGAGTGTAGGGCTTTTTATTAAAAAAACGGATTATCCAAAAATATGCTGTAATTGCTGACATCTTAGACAACAAAGAAGTGTGTGTTTACCCTTTATTATATTAGTATAGATGACACCTATTGGTAATTTATTATATTGACATATGGTTTTGGGGATCAATAGAATAGACAGATAAAATTATATGCAAAAAGTCAAGTGTAGTGTTAATTATGTCTGTATATTATTTAAGTCTCTTTTTATATGCCTGCGACTCCGTCCGCGTGGAATTATAAAAAAACAAAACTGAGTAGCCTATGTGTCCTTCCAGAATATCTTCTACATCTATGCCAAATATCATCGAAATACCGTTCAGCTGTTTAGGCTACAAACTCCAACAAACCGCTATCCATCCATCTAAACTTTCGCATTTATAATATTAGTATATCCCTTGTTAAATTTATTTTTAAAGGGTGGGTAGAATTAATCATATATGTTAACAGGTGGAACGTACCAAAGACAGACCGTTGGTCTCCGGTGTGATATCAAATAAACAAGCCGTTGGATTCCTGGCGGCACAACTTAGTCTTGCACTTACTGTACTGTTACAGTTAAATTGTTATAGCATAGTGCTCGGTGCTAGTAGTATGTGTAAGTATGTTTGTTTGTATATTCTATTGTAACACCCACAGTATTAACTAGGGTTGTATCGGAACTCCGCTTCCGCATCCGCAAGTGCGGATCCGCAAGAAATGTTAACTCCGCATCCGTTATTTTTTATGCGGAGTTATAACGGAGGTTAATTTACGTCTTTGCTAATCTGGTTGTCAACTGACTATAATTGTTATACATTATATTTGCATCATAAATTGTATCTTGTAATTATGGACAGATCTGTATTTTCAATTACCGTGGTTTTAGTTTTTATATCTTACTAATATTATAAATGCGAAAGTTTAGATGGATGGATGGATGTTTTTTAGCGTTTGTAGCCTAAACGACTGAACGGATCGCCATGAAATTTGGCACAGGTTTAGAGCATAGTCTGGAAGAACACATAGGCTACTATTAATCCCGGGAATGGTTACGGTTCCCGTGGGATTAATTAATTTAGTTTTTTAATGTTTACTCGATCGTTCTGCAATGTTTCAACATATCTTATTGAAATTTGTCACAGATATAAAACAAAGTGTGGAGTACACATGGGATAAGCTTCATCCCCGAAAAATGTCCGGTTCCCGGGATACGTAGCTTTTTCTAATTTATATAGTTCGTTTGTTGTCTAATACCACGCGGACGAAGTCGCGGGCAACAGCTCGTCTTTAATAAATCTCAATTAATATTTTAATATTGGCTTCCGCTTCCGTTAACCTCCAATTCTGCAGAGGTGAAGCCCTTCGCATCCACATCAGCTTCCGCTCCGTTAAAATGGCCTCCGTTACAACCCTAGTATTAAACCCTATTATTAAAAAACTACTGAACAGATTTAGATGAATGAGGTGTCATTAGATTCGACTTCTTCTCAAGAGTGTCATAGAGTATTTTATAATGACCCAAAACATATACAGTAGACGTGAGGGTAAAAATTAAAAAAATGTAGTGCACAAATTGTATTATAAGCTACTAGCTGTCCGCGACTTCGTCCGCGTGGTATTAGAAAACATACGAACTATATAAATAACAAAAAGCTACGTATCTCGGGAACCGGACATTTCTCGGCGATGAACCTTATCCCATGTGTACTCCAGGCTTTGTTTATATCTGTGACAAATTTCAATAAGATATGTTGAACTATTGTAGAATGATCGAGTAAACATTAAAAAAACTAAATTAATGAATCCCACGGGAACCGTAACTATTCCCGGGATAAAAAGTAGCCTATGTGTTCTTCCAGACTATGCTCTAAACCTGTGCCAAATATCATGGAGATCCGTTCAGCCGTTTATGCTACAAAGTCTAACAAACATCCATCCATCGTAACTTTCGCATTTATAATATTAGTAAGATATCATTTGCATAAATTGTGTTTGAAAATTCTTGTATATGCAAATGTGTTATTTAGTAGTTCTATTTTTGTTTTTTTTTTCAGTATTAGTAATAACGTATCCATTAATGAAGAGAATAACAAACTACCCTCAGATATTCTTAGGGGCTACGTTTAATTGGGGCGCATTGCTAGGATATACAGCTATACAGGGTGATCTAAACCCGCTTGTATGTCTGCCGCTATATACAGGGGCGCTCGCATGGACGGTCGTGTATGACACTATATATGCACACCAAGTGAGTTCTTCTGTCCTTATCACTGTATTAACATTTTTTATATAGATTTATTTTTAAACTGTGTTATGTGCTCGCTGTTGCACGCGACTTCGTTTGCGTCATATATATACATGATATAGTCTATGTTACTCAGTGAAAATGTATCTTTTTAATGGTGAAAGATTTTTAGTAATTGACCCAGTAGTTTTTGAGTTTATTTATTACATATAAGTACGATTTTTTTACCTCTTAATAATCCAAGATTATTATTATCATAAATAAAGGAAAGATTTGCATTTGTAATAAATAAACTCAAAAACTACTGGGACAATTTCCAAAATTTCTTTGACCAATAAAAAGTTATGTTATTGCGTAATATAACGAAGTCGCGATAGCTAGTATAAAATTAATTTTGTTTTTCGTAATACGTAAAAACCAGATTTTCGTTTAAAACAGGAAACTGAAACTTTTTATTTATATATAGGATAAAGAAGACGACGCTCGTATAGGTATGAAATCCACCGCGTTGACATTCGGCTCACACACGAAGCCTGCGCTCAGCGGAGCCCTAGCGCTCAGCGTGACGTCACTGGCGGCCTCCGGCGCCGCCGCCGGCCTCCAGCTGCCCTACTACCTCGCGCTGGCTGCCTACACACTGCATGCGGGGAGACAGGTATCTATACTATTATAATAAAGCGTAAACACACACTTCTTTGTTGCCTAAGATCTCAGCAATTATACCATATATTTGAATAATTCTATTTTTAATAAAAAGCCCTACACTTACGTCACGCTTTAGGCTACATGTTTTCACGCCATTAAACTTCTGGGGTATTTTGGATAAAAACCCCAATGTGGGAAAGAGACCATAAGTTTCTGCCGATATCAAGGAAGCAAGGTTGCGATATTAAGGTAATTGGTATTTTGACATTTGCAATTGAGAATTTGACAAATGCAAAGAATAAATTTATAATTTCATGCGGATGAAGCCGCACGAGAACAGCTAGTATATCATATAAATATTATAAATGCGAAAGTTTAGATGGATGGATGGATGTTTGTTAGCGTTTGTAGCCTAAACGGCTGAACAGATCTCCATGAAATTTGGCACAGGCTTAAAGCATAGTCTGGAAGAACACATAGGCTACTTTTTATCCCGGGAATAGTTACGGTTCCCGTGGGAGTCATTAATTTAGTTTTTTAATGTTCACTCGATCATTCTGCAACGGTTCAACATATCTTATTGAAATTTGTCACAGATATAAAACAAAGTCTGGAGTACATATGAGATAAGGTTCATCCCCGAGAAATGTCCGGTTCCTGGGATACGTAGCTTTTTGTTATTTCTATAGTTCGTATGTTTTCTAATACCACGCGGACGAAGTCGCGGGCAACAGCTAGTAAGTTATAACTATGAATCTATCGATTCCAACTTCTATAAGGATAAAAATCGAAAATCGATAAGATTCATGACTGATTTTACACAACCCATCCCTACTAAATTTGAAATGAATTGTCAAACTATAAACTATGTTTTTTTTTTTCAGATTTACACACTAAACCCAGATAATCCAAGCGATTGTGCTGACAAATTTAAATCTAATTCTATGGTAGGTTTAATTATATTATTAGGTATAATAGGAGGAGGTTATAAACAATATATAGATAATAGACAGAAAAATAAAGGCAAGGAAAACGTTGATATAACAAAAAGTTGCATATTTAGCTAATAATGAATTTAAGAGATTTTTCGCCCAGTTTTTTTAAATAATAATGTGTACAAAAAGTACAAATTGCTTGAAAAAAACAAACAGAAAAGTAAATGTTTTTAAAAGCAATTAAAATTTGTTCCTCAAAAATAGTTTACAATGCTTAAAAACAGGATAGGATTTTAATATACACGTTAAAATATCTCTTTTACTCGATATTTATTCGATTTTAGAGCTAATCGATGTGTAATTTTTGCATATTATTATTTAAATGATGTAAAATCAATTTAATACCAATATAATTAAAATTTATTTATTTAAACAAGTATACATACATCTTGTTAAATAAAATACGTAATGCTGTGACAACTCCAAGTTAAATCAGTTTAAACCCTTAAATGTATGTTTTTTTAAATGCCATAAACAAACGGGTGATTAATTAAAAAAAAAGGCGATTCTTCAAAATACTCTATTGTGTAGAAGAAAAGACCATCATGCATTTAAGGGTAAAGTTAGAATAATTTTAGTCATATCTGGGTTCAATTACAGGTTTAGAGCATTTAAAAATGTAAAATTAGTTTTTATTCTAATGTTAGGTAATTTATATTCTTTGGTTTTGTTCCTAGTCTATGGTTACAAAGTATCAACTTGACAGCTGTCACAGTAACGATTAGTGATGTGACGTAAATTTTTGAAATAACTATCCGATTGTTTAGAAATATCGATTTCAAAAAGTGCATCATAACCTGTGTTTGTTACTACACCCAATTTAGAAGCATTATAATAAATTGTATGCCTTTGTATTACAATTGTACAAAATTAACTAACAGTTATCCATAGTCGGAACCAAAGTCTTGGAAATTGGTGTTAGAATAGCATAGCTATGTTTTGAGGGGTCCTAATAAATGTAAGACATAGGTGTAATGGTTTTAGTATACACTACGCAAGATATAAACTGAGTTTTGACGCTTTATAAAAATAAAAACCAATGCGTATATGTATTTTAGGGAATTCTAATGGCATTAAAAATAAAAATAGGCATTTTGTTAAAATTGTAAAATAAATTGTTGTGTAAATGTAAGGTAAATGAAAAAGATGGATTTCATATATTTTTTAGTTATAGCATGACCAGAAAAAAAACCATAATGCGGATAAATATGGCACTAATATCTAATGTGGTGTAAAAATACGAACAAAAGCGTCCCTAGACCAGAATTTTTCGTATACTTAGTTGATAGTTACAAAGTTTATAATGTGTGAGTACCTAGTATTGAGAGTTACCAAAAAGTAGTATTAATTGTTTGTTAATAATGATAATCATGTAATATTAATTAAAAAACCTAGAGCTATTGGTAAATATAACCTAGAAAATATTAAGACATTTTTTCACTATCGGATTAACAATAATCATAGAATATTATCGAATCGATTAGTTACATGTCTATGAAATATTCGATTATATGAAATTGTAATTATCAGAAATTAAACCAAGTTCCTTTGAGGTGTAAAATTTGGTTTTTAAAATATTTGTCATAATACGATGCTCTACTTATATGTTAATAAGTATTTGTATTTATTTGTTAAATAAAATGTTTCTTGCCACATGGTGTATTAACTTTATTTTATTAGCGTTCCGATTTATTGAGCCATCAATTTTGTATCTTTCTACTGCTCTCTCCCTCTTATCTTAATAAATTTATAAGTTTCCTTCGACTTAAGCGAGTCTTGTTACTGACAATATCTTTACAATTAGTTGGAATCCTTACCACCCTTATAGTGATAATGGCAAAATTAAAATAAGCACAAATGCTAAGGCTTTTCGTAGAGATATCAAATCTTTTAAATATAAAAATATCGATAAAGACTTCTACAAAAATAAATCGTATCGATTAATAAGAAAATACATGTCCATCCCTATCTCGAGTTGTCAAATTACTTTCAACATTTACTTGTCAGTTGGTTATAGACATGTGGGTCAAATAAAGATGATGAACAACAGTTCAGTTCACGGATCACACATGTGAATCAGATCAGTAAACCGACTTAAAGATAAGATTATACTTCTTTTAGCTAAAATTTTACTTGCAAAGAATTAAGATTTACGTTTCGTGTAGTATGCAGCTCGTGAGTTGTTGGTTTATATAATTATAGTACTTTGCGTTGCGTCGCGAACTGCCAATTTAGTTGTTGAGCCACAACTCAACGCTTGACGTGATCTGAACTTTTGATCCTGCAGAGCTTACACACGTCAAAAATGGGTAAAGGCAAAGCTTATCCTATTGGAGAACGTAATATTATTTTAAAAGTTGTTAATTTTTTCTATAAAGAAAAACAAGTAGGATCTCCAATAATACCCGTAAAGCGTGCGTTAGACCGCGCTAGTGAGGCTACAGGTGTCTGTATTCGTACTTTACGAAACATTAAAAATGAAGCCAAAAAATTAAGAATAACTGCTACACCAAGTACATCTTATATACATAAAAAAATTCCAACTCCGAAGAAGTACAAGTCAAGTGAGAAGAAACAAATAATGGAATCGAACATTGAGAGTATAACAAGCCTAGACTCAACAAATCTTTGCATGTCTTGTTTATGTGTGGATCAGCCTCTCCAAGAATTGAAATCGGGAAATATACTAAACTATTATTTGGATTGTATTCGTGAAGTTACCGTAAGTATCAATAGCTATATTTTTGTGGATGTTTCCCAATGGGTCGAACATTCGGTGGGCATAACTTACATTTTTTGCCAATTTATTTAACGAAATCTAATAAGAATTATTTCTAGCCTGAAAAGGTTACAAGCGATTAAATATCTATTATTTGCGTATACATTTGTATTTTTAATCAATGTCGCATGTATTCGGTGTGGTTGTGGTATTGCCAAGATGGTCATCAATACATAAAATGTTATTTATATATAAATGTTATATATACAGTGTTAAATATGTAATTATTTATTTTTCAGCTTAATGACATTCCAAAGTCTGTAATCGTATGCTGGCAGTGTGAAGCAATGTTGAGAAAAGCTGTGAACTTCAAAGAACATATTAAGGAGACATATAGAATAATTCAAACATGTACAAATGAGGTTGGTTTGCTTTTTACATGATTAACAAATACTTCATTTTGCTTGGTACTTTGTCAGCATGAAATTAGAGATAATAAAAAGTATAGCCTATGTTACTTAATGATGACATAGCTTTTTAATGGTGAAATAATATTTTAAATTGGCCCAGTAGTTTTTGAGTTTTCTCAATACATATAAGAATTAAAAAATACAAGTCTTTACTCTTTATAAAAGTATAGATTACTAATTGTACTATAACCATTCCTTGTAAATTGCTTTTTTTATTAAGGTGAGTAAAAAGTACTTGTACACATAGTTAATTTAAAAACTGGGTTACTATATAAAAAATTGTCTTCTTCAAGTCTATATGTTCCTGGTAATCTCCAGAACCACAGCACTAATTTTGATGGTACTTTGACGGGAAGGTAGCTAATGTATGCAAAAATAATATAGACTAATTCTTTTATCCTTTGGTCACTTATTCCCAAATCTATACTAATATTATAAAGAGTATAGATGCATTTTTGTATGTATTGAAATAACTCAAAAACTACTGGGTTGATTTCAAAAAATCTTTCACTATAAAAAAGCGATGTTATCAATAAGCAACATAGACTGTGTTTTTTAATTTCTTTTTTTTTTCATAGTTACTAAGGTCCCTTAGAATGCCAGAAACACTTTTTTCAAAATTCACCACAATTTTTTTTTTTTTCAGAATTATGAACATTTGTGTAAACCAGCCAGACTAACAGTGTATAACAATAAGTCTTTAGATTTATATAGTGATTGTAATCGGATTAATGATTGTAATGAAATTGATTCCAAAGTGACAAATATTAAAATTGAACATGAAGGTAAGTTTTGTATATTAGCTTATAGTTAGTGACTTATATTGCTCCTTATTCTACTCCCTGGTCGGTTATAATCAACCAGGCTACACTGCGGGACTTCAGATCATCTTCCTCCTTATCCTTCTCCCATAGTGGTAGAGTTGCCGTTGTAGTGGCACAGGTTTTGTCCTCCACATAACTCTGGCATACTTCATCTCAGTCACTCCTTTCATCATATCACCTTTCACACAATACATCTCTTTCTATGTCTACCTCTACCGGAGTACCACACTCAGAACCAACCTTCTCCTTGTGACATGCAATTCTTCCCTTACAATATGCACATAGCATGCTAACCTTTTACTCCTTACTGCTGGAGTTCAGATATCATTGAATTTCTTCACATATCACAAACATCAATTTTCTTTAACAGTAATCTATATCTATACTGATATTATAAAGAGGAAGGATTTGTATTTTTAGATTTTTGTATATACTGAAAAAACTCAAAAACTACTGGGTCGTAAACCAAATTCTAGAATTAGTTGGAATGGAAAAGGAAATAGTAAAATAACAAAAAATCTACTAATCTATACTAATATTATAAAGAAGAAAGATTTGTATTTTTGTATGTATTGAAATAACTCAAAAACTACTGGGTACTTTCAAAAATTCCTTTACCGTTAGAAAGGTAATTTGTCAGTGAGTAACATAGGCTATATTTTTTTAATTACATGCAAGCAAAGTCGCAAACTATAGGTAGTAAGTTATATAATTTCTTTTGTTATAAATTTCAGATGAAGATGTAAGTAATAAAACAAATATGCAAACAGATTTTGAACCAAATGATAATATAACCTTAAATGAAGAAATCAATAGGATAATAGTATGTATTTTACTTAATTAAACATTTGCCTTTATCTTACTAATATTATAAACTAGCTTTCGCCCGCGACTCCGCGTGGAATTTAAAAGAACAAAAGTAAGTAGCCTATATGTTCTTCCAGAGTATTCTCTATATCTATACCAAATTTCATCGAAATCCGTTCAGCAGTTTAGGCTACAAACTCTAATAAACATCCATCTAAACTTTCTCATTTATAATATTAGTATGATTAGTATGATGGAAGTTTAGATATATGTTTGTTAGTTTGTATCCTAAACTGCTGGGATCTTGATGATTGTCATACATGTAGAGGACAGTCCGGAACACATAGACTACTTATTTTTGTTTTTTTTTTTATCTGTACATGCATAGACCCTTTTTTAGGTGTTAATATGTCATTTACTATACACTAGCTGTCCCCCGCGACGCCGTGATCTTCCAGACTATTATCGATCCTCTACATTTATGACAATTATCGAGATCTGTTCATCTGTTTAGGATACAAACTTACCAACATACATAAACACTTTCGCATTTATAATATTAGTAAGATAGATTTATTTTCAGTTTTTGTGCCTTTCCCACCAAATTGTATTATATGATAACAATCCAACATGTAAATGGGATGGAAATGTCGATTTTATTCCGTTATCTGACAGTGACGTCAATTTAAGCTATCTGACCCTCTATCAGCCAGTGATGGGACAACCTCTAATTGTTTAAATAGTATATAAACATGTCTTGTAACAAGTCTATGATATATTTATAAAGGATAGGAAGTCTGAGAGTAGCCCCAGTGGTTAAGGAAATAAGGAGTAAAAGGTTAGAGTGGTATGGGCATGTTATGAGAAGGGATGAATCGCATGTAACAAGAAGGATGTTAGTTATGAATGTGGAGGGGTACATCGGTAGAGGTAGACGTAGAAAGAGATGGATGGATTGCGTGAAAGGTGACATGATCAAGAAGGGAGTGATGACTGAGATGACGGATGATAGAATGCTTGGGAGGACGAATACCCGGTGCGCCGACACTACGGGAGTAGGATAAGGCCTGCCTCTCCCCTGGGAGATGATGATATATTTATAAAGGAAAAAAATGTTTGGATATGTATTATTTCTTATTTCTATTGAATTCAATATAAAGGGCAACTTTATATTTTTTTATCTATGAAGATATTTACATTTAATTTTAGAATCAATATGATGAAAGTTCAATAACCCATACAAGAAACTCGGACAAACAAACAGATGAACTAATACAGAATAAATATAATAAAATCCAGAATAAACAGAACAATACAGAAGGTAAGTAATTTTTAAGTTTCTGGAGTAAGGTGTAAGAATACTAAATGGAAAAAAACTCAAAAACTACTGGGGTTATATAAATAATTCTTTCACCTTTAGAAAATTACATTATTTTAGATTGATATAGGTATTTTTTTTATTAGAATTCTTTATGAATTATTAAAAGGGTAGATATTTAGATATGTTTGTAATCATTTCTTATATCTATTGAAATACTAAATTAGACAAAAGAATAATTTCAATACAATGTATGGATGGATGTTGGCAGACTTATAGAGGATAGTCTGAACACATGGGAAACTTATTGACCGACTTCCCAAAAGAAGGAGGTACTTAATTCGTCTATGTGTTTTTTTTTATTTGTGTTACGGTATATCTCCGCTGCTAGTGGACCGATTTCTATAATTCTTTTTTTATCCAAAAGGTAATGCTTGCAGGTGGGTCCTTGTTTTGTTTGATTTTTGGAGTCAGAGACTACGACGTAGTTAAATAGTTTTTTAATATGCGGACGGAGTTGCGTGCGTATTAGTGTTTTTATTAAAATTTTTGTTTTAGATAGTTCAAATATTGAGAATGAACAACAAAAACTTCCTGAACAAAACAAGAGAGAAAGAGATAGCAATCAAGATGTTAGAAAGAGAAGGAAATGTGAAAATCAAAACGAAACGGTATGTTTACATTTGTTAAAATTTACTTTTTTTTGGTATTTGTGAATTTGTTTCCTAGTAGTTTTTTTTTTAATAATAAACCCCAGGATTGTCAATTTTGTACAACTAGCTGTTCCTGTGCGGCTTCATCCGCATGAAATTATAAAAACTTTATTTTACCTATAATAGTATTATAAAGAGGAAAGATTTATATTTTTTTATGTATTGAAATAACTCAAACTACTGGGGCAATTCCAAAAATTATTTTACCATTCAAAACCTACGTTATCAGTAAGTAACATAGGTTACGATTTTATTATTTTTTTTAATTTCACACCGGCAAAGTCGCGAGCAACAGCTAGTTGTTTACATTTTTAAATTTTTTATTGCAAATACATAAATGACAAAGGCCTTTGCAATTGGGTATACCGTTACCAGCAATCTTACTTCTTTGATGTCAGCTTGTACTTTTTGTCTCTTTCCCGCATGACAGTTTTTCCCAAATTATTTACTTCCTAAGTTTAATAGCGTGAAAATGTATAACCTAAAGCGTGTCGTAAGTGTAGGGCTTTTTATTAAAGTGAGAATTATTCAATAATATGCTGTGATTGCTGACATCCTACGCCACAAAGAAGTGTGTTTACGCTTTATTATTTTAGTATAGATTGCCATTAAAAGATTTTAATATGTAATGTATGTAATATTTTCAGTGGGAGAACTCACAGAATGAGATATTAACAGTGAAGATGAGTTATGAAGAGATGTTGTCAGAAAGAGAGAAAGAGAAAGAAAGAGAAGTATTCACAAAAACTCAATACAAATGTGATACTTGTATTATAGGTTTTGATAACCCCAAATTATACAATATCCATGTAAAGAAAAATCATTCTCCGGTAAGAATTTCCTATATTACATTTAAATATACTTTACTATTTACTATATTTACTACTAGCTGTTCCCATGCGGCTTCGCATGAAATTATAAAAACTTTATTTTATTGTTTACATTTGTCAAATTCTCAATTGCAAATGTCACAATACCGATTTCTCATGGTAAACTTGCTTTCTTGATGTTGGCAACTTATGTTCTCTTTCCCACATTAGGATTTTTATTCAAAATATTTACTCCTAAGTATAATGGCGTGAAAATATATAGACTAAAGCGTGACGTAATTGTAGGACTTTTTATTAAAAAACGAATTATTTAAAAATATGCTGACATTGCTGACAAAGTAGTAAGTTTTTCAGTTTTTTCAACATATACAAGAATATTCGGTGTGCTCGCCGCTCGTTTGCCCCCCTTTATTATAAAAAAAAAAACACAATTCGTCTTTATAATATTAGTATAGGTTATATATATTTTTTTTAATTTCAGGATATAGGAAATCATATCTGTTTAATATGCAGTACATTAACTTCAACTATTGAAGCGAGTAAAGAACATTATAAAACACATTTTTTGAGGTGAGTTTTTTAAAATACATATTTTTTTATAATTAATCTATCCTTTCTAAGAAAAACATAAATTTTGAACTAGCTTTCGCCCGCGTGGAATTAAAAAAAATGTGTAGCCTATGTGTTCTTTCAGACTATTCTCTACATCTGTACCAAATTTCATCAAAATCTATTCAGCCGTTTAGGCTACAAACTCTAACAAACATCCAACTAAACTTTCGCATTTATAATATTAAGTAAGATCAGTACGATATATTGGAATTTTCAGAATTTTGTCTTCAAATACAAATATAGTTTTATTTTTTTATTGAATAAATTGAACTTATCCAGTAGTTTTTGCCTGTGACTGTCTGTGTAAAAAAAAAAGAAATTTAAGATTTTGTTCTACATATATGTCAAATTTCATCGAAATCCGTTCAGCAGTTTAGGCTAAAAACTAACATCCATCCATCCATCCAAACTTATTTATAATACTAGTACCTAATGTAATTTCTTTTTCTAGATATGAATGCAAAATATGTAAAGAAAGTAGTCTAAATATATTCGCTATTGAAGAACATTACTTCAAAATACACGGGAAATCATCAACACAACACAACAGTGAAATTTCAGAATTCTCTTCAGAGTATGTTATTAAAAAAACAATTAAAAACATATCTCATATCACTCAGTGATAATGAAACTTTCTTTTAGTCAAAGAATTATTAAAATTGACCCAGTAGTTTTTGAGTTTATTGGTTACATACAAATAAAAAAAATATCCTTAAAAAATTTTCATATTTGAAATAAATAGCGCGAAATTATGATACAAAATATAAAAGTGCATGTATTTAAAAAAAAAATAGTTTGTCGACGTTAAGCTTTAATTAGGGAGGAGGGATTTGTCCCACTTAAAGAGTATGCAAATTAGTCATTTATTGATCGGTTGGTGAGCCCCTTTTCGCCAAAAAGGCGACATTTCTTCAGAAATATTGATTTTTTAGTGATAGTGATGATGACTTGGACATTTTACAACTATTGGATGATGATGATGACTTTCTTTCACCTCTGTGCCCTACAAAGGATCGGCAGAGTAAGTATTTATAACTATATATCTAAACTAGCTATTCCCATGCGGCTTCGTCCGTATGAAATTATGAAAATTTTATTTCATTGTTTACATTTGTCAAATTAATAGCAAATGTCAAAATGACATAACATGACAAACCTTAGCAAACTTTCTTTCTTGATATTGGAAGCAATTTTTGTGTCTTTCCCACATTAGGGTTTTTATCCAAAATATTTACACCCTAAGTTTAATGGCGTGAGGCATTACGTAAGTGTAGGGCTTTTTATTAAAAAAATATTTATTCAAAAATATGCTGTAATTACTGACATCTTGGGCAACAAAGAAGTGTGTGTTTACGCTTTATTATAATAGAATAGATAGATATAATAAAATTGTCTAATATCGTTAGTAAAATGTCAGATTTCAGGAAGATGATGCATTTGTGTTGCTAGTAATAAAAATCGCATTATAAATGTTTGTCTGTTTGTCCAGCGGTTGTTCCGGGGAATCTCCGAAACGGTTGGGCTGATTTTGACCGGACTTTCACTGGAGGGTAGCTGACATAGACCAGTATATTATAGGTTATTTTTTATCTCATAAAATTAGTAATAAAAAAAATAAAGTGTTAAAATTAATTTTTAATAATTATAACTATAATTGTTAATAATTAAAGATAATCAAGAATTGTTTTTTAACTTTTCTATTTCGAGTTTTAATTTTTCTTTTTCTAAATGAAATAGTTCTTCGATAATTTTTCTTTTCGTTTCGTAATAATTTTGTATAGCTTTATCTCTTGCAACTCTGCTCTCGTTTACTCTATATTTCCGTTGAATACCTTAAAAATAATTTAAACCTGTATGTAATGGTTAAACTCAAAAACTACTGGGGTATTATGAAAAATTCTTTCACAATTGGAAAGCTACATTATTACATACTGATAAAGGATATATTTAATGATAGTTTTTGCTCAATTTAATGCGGAATTAAATAAAAAATCTCATAATGTGATAATGTAGTGTTCTAATGGTTAAAGAATATTTAAAATAACTCTAGTAGTTTTTGAGTTTATTATTACAGAAATACAAAATGTTTCTATTTAAAAGTCTGATTACTAACTAGCGCCCTCGACTTCGTCCGCTTGAAATTAAAAAATTATAAAAAATAGGCTCAGTAGTTGTGTTATTCCAATACATACAAAAATACAAATCTTTCCACTTTATAATATATCTATACTATAGACTAGTTTACGCTTGTGACACCGTCTGAGTGTTTAAAAAAAGTAAGTATCCTATGTATTCCAGACTATCCTCTACATGTATGACAATCATCAATATCCCAGCAGTTTAGGATACAAACTAACAAACATACATATAAACATTCACATTTATTAGTAAACTAACTGTTCCCATGCGACTTCATCCGCATGTAATTATGAATTTTTTTTATTGTTTACATTTGTCAAATTGCAAATGTCAAAATGACATGACATGATGACAACCTTGCTTCCTTGATGTTGGCAGCAACTTATGGTCTCTTTCCCACATTAGGGTTTTTATTCAAAATATTAACACCCTAAGTTTAATAGCGTGAAAATACATAGCCTAAAGTGTGACGTAAGTGTAGGGCTTTATATTAAAAAAAGGATTATTCAAAAACATGCTGTAATTGCTGACATCTTAGGCAACAAAGAAGTGTGTACGCTTTATTATAATAGTATAGATATAGATTTCTTATCAATTACCTTCAGTTTGTGGACTATTGGTATGTTTGTTCCCACTTTCAACATCCTCCGGTATAATACTAATTATTTCTATATCTTGCAAAGGTAAGATTGCATGATTTTTTAAAAAGAAATCAGGATTTGAACAATTTGAGGCATCATCATTAATTAATTGTGAATCACCTCCAAATTTATCTTTATAATCATTTATTGGACTATTCAACATAGAATATACTTTGTCTAATACTTCATCTGGTCTCATATCAGGTGTTCCACCATCCTTAAAAAAAAAGCTTTTGCTTGAGGCTTGTGTAACAAACTCAAGTGTGTTTTTCAGATTATGTTCTATTTGTGACTTATAGAGGTCTATTTACATGTTTTGGATATAGTAACAAATATCAATCCAAACTTTTACATTTGAGGACTATAAGTATCATCATCATCACCAGCTCACTATACGTCCCCACCGAGGGGCTCAGAGCCTACCCTAATAAGGGATGACTAGGCCATAGTCAACCACGCTAGCCAAGTGTGGGTTGGTTGACTTCACACATATCTTTGAATTTCTTCGCCGATATGTGCTGCATCTCGATGTTTTCCTTCACCGTAAGAACGTCGGGTAAATTATGTACATATGAAAATTCAAAAAATCGAACATCACAGGTACAGCGGGATTCAAACCCAAGACCTGTAGATTACAAGTCAAGTGTTCAAACCACTGAGCCACCGACGCTCTGCTATAAGTATGTTTGGTTAATATTTTTTAGTTTTTAAACTAGGCATAATTATAGTACAAATGAACTAAGATTTAGTTGTATTTGATAAAAAATTAATAAAGGGTTTTTATTTTTATACCACTGATTTATATTTATATAAATTGACTAGCTGTTGCTCTTGACTTGGTCTATGTCATTAAAAATAACCTATGTTATTCTCTGATGTAGCTTTTTAATAGTAAAAGATTTTTTTTATATCGGGCTAGTAGTTTTTGAGTTATTTGATGGATGTGTGGTGTGACAAGATTGGATAAAGTTAAGAATGTGTACATTAGAGGAAGTTTGAAAGTAGCGCCAGTGGTAGAGAAATTGAGAAGCAAAAGGTTAGCGTGGTATGGACATATTATGCGACGAAATTATGGGGACATAAACCAGAAAGTGTTGAGATTGAATGTGGATGGAGGATTCTGCAAAGGAAGAGGAAGACCGAAGAAAGTATGGATGGATTGTGTGAAGGAAGATATGCTAAGAAAGGAGTGGATTCAGATATGACGGCTGATAGAGATGTATGGAAGAGCAGCACATACTGTGCCGACCCTCCATAAGGGATAAGGGCAAATGGATGATGATGATGAGTTTTTGAGTTATTTCAATACATACAAAAATACAATTATTTATCATATTAGTATAGATTGATAATAATATTAAGTATTTATATATTTGAATATTTATATGGAAGATGTTTTTTACTTTTTATCTCCTAAAATTTGTTTTATTTCTTACCAAAATCCACTACCCCATCCCATTGTAAGAGGCGGTTGGAAAGGAAAGAATTTCCTTTTAATAAAAAGTAATGTTACCATTTTATTTATTTGTATAGATGCATTACGTCTCCTGGCATTTTTTTTTCAAATTCTCCCATTTTAAACGCAGTTGTCTCCACGTCCTCTCACACGTTCCTACTTTTTTGTTAAATGTTTGAGCAATGCGAATCCATTCCTGAACTTTCAGCTTATTTGAGGTCGCATTCGTTTTTTTATTTTTTAATAATATGTTACTCGCTTCGACTAACTTTAGTAAAGCTATAGTTTCATCCTTAGTTAAGGGTTTTGACTAAAAAAAAAGCAAGTGTAAATATTAACAAAACATTTCAAACATACGATCGTTTATTTTAATTAATTCTAGAAAGGTCGTTTGCCTTGCAATTAATGGAGATAATTGCGAGATTAAAGGAGATAAAATTGTTTGGAGATTGAATATTGGTTTCCCATTATACCTACAGTTTGACTCCATATTGAACATATTCCTATGCAAATTATGAAATACAACTCTTGTTGTACAATTTATCTCTAGCTTTCTTAAAAATAAAATAAAACATGTATTTTCATTGAATATTGGTGGATCTGATAATAAACTTCAAATTAGGGAATTTCTTCGCCATATTTATAAATACAATACGTTCACTTCACGTTCCATTTCTATATCTTTATTTTCTTATTTACAAACAAGATATGGGGAAATAATTTTAATAAAAGGACAAGTAGTCGCAATATTTTAATTTCTATAAAGGATCTATAGATTTTTGAATATCTTGCTGAAGTCTTATCCGATAAAAGAAAACGATCCCTATTTTAAGATAATCTTGATTTAAATTCAATCTCGAACTTAAGATGAAGTAATATGAGTTTATTCATAAATCATTACCGATTTATTCGCAATTATTATTTTAATTTAAACGTTACATGGACTTTAAAAGTATTAGTAATTATTTAGCTATCAAATATAGTTATTTAAAATGTTCAACATCTGACTTTTTAATCTGTGGTGGAATGTTATTCAAACTTTTATGCACTCTATAATTTTGAAACACTCTATAATCTATAACTAAACTATTGTCAATGGTTCTTTGCATTTTAGTTTACAGTTGCAGTTTTTCTATATTTTTATATGATTCTAATATTCAAATGTTAAAAATCATATAAGAATAGAATAGTTTATATTACTTATATCATTTTGGACATATTCATGCTGTGTCTGTTACTTTATTGACTGAAACAATGGCTATGTTTCGATCGTCTCCTAGAGACGTCGTATATCGTCCTCCTATTAAAAGAAATTGTGATACAAACCCTGAGACTTACTTTTGTAATATCTGTTTTGATGGCTGGGACAGCGAGACTGAGGTGGAAATACATCGTTCTGTAGCCCACAGGAGGGAAATTATGAAACTAATGAAAAATTCCAGAGCCACATACTGTTGTAGGGTAAGTTACAAACTTTACTATTTTTTTTACATTTTAAATTGATTTACACAAATAGTATCTCATTTATTATGTATTTAAATCGTAATATTTTAGTACTTAATGTTAGTTTAGATAGTAATGTATGTAAAATAAATTCCTATAAGTAACTTTCTAGTTATAAGAGGTTAAGAATTTACGCGCGACATTTCGCGTAAGATTAATGTTATAAAATGTTTTCAGTTATGTGTCAAACCGCATTTAACTTACGAAGGATTATTAAAGCATATCAAAGTTCGTCATCTTCTTAGTGATGAGAACGCAACAAGAGTTGAAAGAGAAATATTTATTTGCAACACATGTTCTGCGCTATTCTTCAACAAATTGTTAATGCAAGTCCATATAATAACATTTCATATGGGTGTTGACAAAGACGCGACATTTGCAGCATGTCCAAAGTGTTACAAGATGCAAAGAATTAAGTCTATGTGGTAAGTCAAAGACATTGTTAGTTTCTCTCTTCAAAATAAAAAAAAAGAAAATTGTCTATGCATTCTTCCAGATTATGCTATACATCTGTGACAAATTTCATTAGGATTATCTTTACCCCCTCTAAATCTGTGTCGCCAGCTCACTAATTCCCCACTAAAGGGCTCGGAGTCTATCTTAAGTTATTGGTGACAAGGTCATTGTTAACCATGCTGCACTGTAATTTGACTTCACACATCTATGAATTTGTTTGCCAATATGTGCAGTCATGTTTTCCTTCACCATAGGAATTTTGGGTAAATTATACACATTTGAAATTCAAAATAGCAACTGATGCTTATCTCTGTTGTAGGTGAACCAATTTTAACGGAACTTTAACTGGCTAGTAGATGGTAGTTGGTAGAAAGTAGGCATTATTCCAAACTGTCACCCCACTCTGTACATGAGAATAAAAAGTTTCATCTATCCTTTTAGTCCCACTATCACCAATATGGTGACATATGGAACCTTTAAGAAATAAAATAAGTTCCAACCGTCACCTTGTTGCAAAAGGTGGGACAGCTTAAATTTTTTTATGAGTCCCCATGTGGGAACAGAGCGGTGTGACGGGTGGATTTGACGGCGGAGGAGACGCATAGGAAGAGGAAATATCCTCTTTATGTGCTCCTCCTCCTTCAATTAAGGGTAGGCAACGCAAAGCAATTGCGAATGTCTATGGGCAGCGGTCGCTTCGCCATTTTGGCGGATTCAGGTAGTCGCTTGCTCGTTTGCCACCTTATATTGTAAAAAACAAGAATCATCCGAAAGTAGATGCATTTTTTTTATAACATAAGATGGCAAACGCGGCCACCTGGATCCGCCAAAATGGCGAAGCGACCGCTGCCCATAGACACCTGCAATTGCAGATGCGTCGCTTAACCTTATCCGACGGAGGAGGAGACGCACATAAAGAGGATATTTCCTCTTCCTATGCATCTCCATCGTCAAATCCACTTCCCCTTCCCATCCTCTCATAAGAAAAGGGTGGTAAAGAGAAAGGGACTTAAATTTGGCCTCCGGGACCACAGTCATCAGACGAAACACGGAATTGCTTCCACTTCACTGTCTTCTGTGTGGTCGTGGTATTACACCGGGCGTGCCGGCCCATTCGTGCTAAGATATTAAAGTGGGCACTACCACTGTCAAAATATGGAACTTAGAACTTAGACTTAAATTAGGAGCATGTGGGAATGTTATACCCAAACAATTTGTCTTTCATTGTATAACAATATTTACTATGTAATCCATCTTTATTACTATTAAAATTACAGGTTCCACTTTCAAGGTCATCATATACAGAGTGTATCGTGTTGCAAAATATGTTTGGAAAAATTCAACAATCGTGTCGACCTGAACATACATATGAAGGAGCATAAGAAATATTTATTCTGTGAAATTTGTCAATACGAGAGTAAAAATGAATTATACTTCAAAGAACATTTAAATACAAGACATAAGTTAAAATCGATTGATTTGAAAGAAGATAAGAGATGTTGGAAGGATTATTTCGTTCCACGATCTTTTGGAGATTATAAAACAAGTGTCATATTAGATTTACCAATGAAAGGTGTTTCTTTAGCGTATTTACAAGAACATAATATAAGAATATGCATACTATGTAGAGAGATATGTATTGGTGAGCAAGAAATGGCAGATCATATGCAAAATCATTATGTGGAGAAAGCAAATAAACAATATGAACATATATGTACTTGCGGGGAAACATTTTCAACAGTCATTTTATTAAAACATCACATGTTTAAGAACCAAGGACATTGTAAAATGGGTGAGTAAAATTACAAATTTATATCTATACTATTATAATAAAGCGTAAACACACACTTCTTTGTTGCCTAAGTCAGCAATTACACCATATTTTTGAATAATTCTTTTTTTAATAAAAAGGCCTATACTTACGTCACGCTTTAGGCTATATATTGTAACGCCATTAAACTTAGAGTGTAAATAGTTTGGAACCCTAATGAATGAAAACCCTAATGTGGGAAAGAGACCATAAGTTGCTGCCAACATCAAGGAAGCAAGTTTGCTAAGGTTTGTCATGTCATGTCATTTTGATATTTGCAATTGATAATTTGACAAATGTGAAGAATAAAATGAAATTTTTATAATTTTATGTGGATGAAGTCGCATGGGAACAGCTAGTATGTAATAAAATTGGAGTGTCTGTAATACCAAAAGAAAAAAATCCAGATTTTGGGAACATGGTGTATTTGCGTTGCTGATAACAAAATCGAATTTAATTTTTTTGTCTGTTTGTCTGCAAGTTGCGTTTGTTCCGGGTAATCTCCGAAACGGCTGGGCCGGTTTCGACCGGACTTTCACTGGAGGGTAGCTGACATTGACGGCCATATTATAGGCTACTTTTTTCTTAATATTGCGTGGACGAAGTCGCGGGCAACAGTTAGCAATATTAAAATGAGGAAATATTTGTATTTTTGTATGTATTGAAATGCCTCAATTAACTATTGGGCCGATTTTAAAAATTCTTTCACTGTTAGATAGAAAATTTATCTATGAGTCACGTAAAGTTTTGAACTTTCAAATTTCACGCGGACGAAGTGGCGGGCATCAGCTAGTATTTTATATTAAATGTAGTATTTTATAAAAATTAACGTCTTTATTTCAGAGTTGGATGAAGATGAGAATACGCTTGTAATAACGTTTGACGAAAATTCATCTTGAAAATAAACTGGTTATATTGACGTAGAAGACATCGAGAAGGCACAGTCATAACGGATGTTATATTGGAATTGCAGATGATTTTGGCGGTTTCAGGTGGCCGCTTGCTCGTTTGCCACCTTATGATGTAAAAAAAATATTCAGATATTCCACTGATGTCAACAAATAGATAGGTGTAATGAAAGACGTGTTTCTAAAATGAAACAAAAAATTTATTTGATCTATGTTGTGGCTCAACAATTTTTCAACACAATTTAACCCTTAAGTGCATATTGTTGATAAAAGTCTTCAAACAAATGTATAGTATTTATTTAAACCGAGGTTTTTTAACTTATTTTTCCCTAAATCTGATAAAACCTATACTGAATACTTATTTCATTAAAATAAAAAATGCATTTAAGGGTTAATGCGATACTAGCTTTCGCTCGAGACTCTTTTGGAATTAAAAAAAATAGTCTTTGTGTTCAGACTATCCTCTACATGTATTCATCGAGATCCCAGCAGTTGCAAACTAACAAACATACATATAAACTTTCGTATCTATACTATTATAATAAAGCGTAAACACACACTTCTTTGTTGCCTAAGATCTCAGTCACTATAGCATATTTTTTAATAATTCTTTTTTTAATAAAAAGCCCTACACTTACGTCACGCTTTAGGCTATATATTTTCACGCCATTAAACTTAGGGGTAAATATTTTGCATAAAAACCCTAATGTGGGAAAGAGACCATAAGTTGCTGCCAACATCAAGGAAGCAATTGCCATTCTTTGTCATCATGTCATATCATTTTGACATTTGCAATTAAATTTGACAAATGTAAACAATAGAACAATTTACATAATTCCATACGGATGAAGTCGCATGAGAACAGCTAGTTTATAATATTAGTAATGAAGTTAGTGGCATTTTAAATGGATTTTTGTTACTTTGTAGATTAAACTCTCAAAAAAATGCCATAGATGTAGAGGATCATCTGAACTGAATAGTTCTGTTTAATTTCACACGGATAAAGCCACGAGCGTAAGCTAGTTGTTTATCTTAGTTTTTAATATATTTAAAGTATTGCCATATAATAATGGACAAAGACAATGGGGATGTTTCCTAATTTTTGGAATTGCTTTTATTATGTAGATAAACCATATCTAAACAAGAAAAAAAATATAATAAAATCATAGACGCAACATTTCATTACAAAAACACTTAACTAAAAACAACTTCTTCAAAGACCGCGAAAACGCCTCATGACGTCACTTCTTTGCTAACAAACCTCGCGTCGCGGTCTGTCAAAGTCATTCAAAGTGACCAGACGTAAATTGAATTAGCTATTCAAATAACTTTTACTATTTTTTTTTTTCGTCATAGTGATTGAAAAATTTGCTCGTAAAATATGTCGTAAATATAAAAACACTTAATAATGGAGTCCTCATTATTAATTAAAATATAACACACGCAAACTCAATTATTATAATCATTAAAAAAAATTATAACTACAAAATGCACTGACATTCACTGAAGTTGGTTACACTGCCATGTTATATGCGAAGAAGTGACGTCACCGAGCTCTGATTGGTGTTTGAGTTAGAGTAATGGAGGGTAAAATATATTGCAGCGTTTTTATTTTATATTTCAATGGAGACAAACATTTAAGGTCTCCAAATGTTATTATAGGTTTTAAAATATTAAACATAACTTTATTTGAATTTGTAACATTAGGAAACATCCCCATTAAATGGGTTTTTTGGTATTATAGATTATTTTATATCTATTATTCAAGTTTCAAACGCTATTAATATCCATATGGAGAAAATAAGTCGCAAATACAGCTTGTAGCTTACGTATAAGACTTACATTTTAGATAAGAAAATAGTAATAATGTAGTTTTATAAAGTAAACACCAATAGTAAGTGTAAATGAAATAAACAGCAATAAAAGTTTCTATGCTTCAAGTTTGTTTTATTTTTTAATGTTAATGTAAAATCATGAAATCCGGTCTATCATAAAATTTACTATTCAGTTTTAGTATAAGCAAAGAAAGTAAAAATTACCCTTAATTTCGTAGTCTTAGACTCCAAAAATCAAACAAAATGGGACCCACCTGCAAGCATTACCTTTCGGATAAAAAAAGAATTATCAAAATCGGTCCACTAGCGGCGGAGTTATGCCGTAACACAAAAAAAAAAAACATACAGACGAATTGAGTACCTCCTTTTGGGAAGTCGGTAAAAAAGTAAAGTATGGATGGATTGTGTGAAAGGAGTGGATTCAGATATGATGGCTGATAGAGATGTATGGAAGAGCAGCACTGTGCCGACCCTCCAGGGATAAGGACAAATTGTATGTCAGTTTTGTTAGAAATAATATTTCAAGCTAAAAAGAAGAAATATTTAGAGGAAGCATAATTGACATTTGAAACATTTTCACATAATTTCCCTATCGCTACTGGTCAGATGCTAAAAATCGCAAACAAATTATTCAAACACAGAAGCATCTCACTGTATTTCAATTTGACATCCAGATATTACCGTACAAAGAAGTTACCAGTAATTTTTTTTCCATACGTCTAGTCAATATTAAAAAAAATGATGTATATTTTTGTATGTATTGATCTCAAAAACTACTGGACTGATTTAAAAAATTCTAGCACCGTTAGGTAATTTGAGTAACATAGGCTATATTTTTTTCAAGCGGACGATATCGGGAGCAACAGCTAGTATTTCTTAAATGTCTTTGTTTCGAGCATTTGTCATCATTTTTCTATGAATCTCAAGAGTTAGGAATTATATTTATAGACAATAAATGTATTTTGAGTATTTTTTACTCGAACCATAACTAATTGGTAAATTTTAGCATTGGTGGAGTTCCTGCTTTAAAAAAAATAAAAAAGATCCTTTTTTCCTATAAGAGTAATATTTTCATACTTTCATGTAAGAGAAATAAAAGAAGTAAATTCTGAAAACAATTTTATTTACAAGAGTAACATATGAAAAATGCATTTACGAACATTTTACGAACTTTCTAAAAACTTTCATCAATATTTCTACTAACTCTATTAAAGAAAAAAAAAACAATTTTAGTAATCCTTTTAGAAAATTGAAAATAACTTAAAACTTGCCTAACAGTATATTTTACCCTCTTAAGGGTATTTGGGGGGTGTCTATAACCCCAACTCTTTGGAAGTCTTAGGTAGTAAATTAATATTAATATTAAAAAACTAGTTAACAAAAATAAATTAGGAACAAGCATTAATATTTTGTCTTAATTTATTCTTTAATTCCATTCTTTTTAAATATAACTTCTTGCTCATTTTTACAACTCTACTAATTCTAGGAGTATTCTTTCCTACTTCCTTCTTTCTTATTTCCCTCTGTCTCAATTCCTTCTTTTCTTTCGGCTTAGTTACTTGAAGTGGTTCATCATAATGTATACCGAAATCTGTTCTTTTATTTAATTCTGAGAATTCATTTATATTTTCTCTAGAAATTTTGTTATAAATTTTTAAGAATTGCCAAAATTCGATATCACCACCTTTTATATTATTTTCATAAAATTCCACTAATTCCGTATCGCATTTATGTTTATTTACAATAGGTTTCGGTTTTTCAAATCTATTTGTGTTTATTATTTTTTTCTTTTCCGTTTTATTTCCATTTTTATGTTTCCATACTTTTTGTTTGAACGGTATTGCATTCGGATTATGTTTACGTGTATGCAATTTCAACGCGCTCAAAGTTTGACATATTTTTTCACAATTCTCACACGGAAATAATATTTTTTTCCCATTAAATTTTGCTAAACGACTCAATTTTTTTAATCTTGACAAATAATCGTCACCGATCACTTTTATTTTTTTTAAATCTTCAATACTAAATTTTGAAAGTAAAAAATCTTCGTTCAATAAAATTTTTTCATTTTCCATAACCCATTCGTTGCCTTTTTTAATTAATTTCTTTTTATTTATACTTAATTCTTTATCTATCTTCCGTTTTTTATCTATTTTATTACTTTCGATTTTATTTAAATTTTTCACACTCGGTATTATTTCTATTTCATGTATATTTTTATTTTTTATATCGTAGTAATATTTTGTACCGTCTTTATTATTTTTTCTATCTTTAAATCTAGGGAAGGGTAGTTTTATATTTATGTTATGTTTTAATAGCATATGTTTTGAGAGGTTAGATTTCGTGACGTAATCACAAAGTGGACATTTTTTTAACATAACATTACAGCATACGTCAAAATGTTTGTCGCAATGTTCTAGAAGTTTCGGTTTAGTTTCAAATAGCTGGAAAAAAAATAATTATACAAATAAAAAAAAATGGATTATTATCTACAAAAGAGGTTTAAATCTTAGAAACAACAAAGTACTGAGTTTAGATTTAATTCCGCGCGTTTAAAGTTGCGGGTAAAAGCTAGTGTTACTATATCTTACTAATATTATAGACTAGCTTTCGCCCGCGACTCCGTCCGAGCGGAATTAAAAAAAAAACAAATGCAAGTACCCTATGTGTTTTTCCAGACTATCCTCTACATATATGCAAATTTCATCAAAATCCGTCCAACCGTTTAGGCTATAAACTCTAACAAACATCCATCTAAACTTTCGCATTTATCATATTAATATGATGTGAAAGTTTAGTTGGATGTTTGTTAGAGTTTGTAGCCTAAACTGCTGAACGGATTTTGATGAAATTCGGCATAGATGTAGAGGACACTGGAAGAACACATAGACTCATAGTTTTTTTTTAATTCTACACGAACGGAGTCGCGGGCCAAAGCTAGTATATTAATAAAAAAAGACTTACTTGAACACGGCTCGTGTAAATACATAAGTTAAAATAACTTTAAAGTTAACATACTTAGAAACATAATATGATATAGTGTTTTTGTAAGTAAAATATATTTTTACAATTTTTTTGAAATTTCTAGGACACAAAGCTCTGATAAATGACAAAAAATCAATAGAAAAAAAATCTCTACTGATATTATAAAGATTCTTATATTTGTATATAAAACTACTAGAGTTTTTTCAAAAAATACTTTGACCAATAAAAAGCTACATTACCACTGATTTACAAGATATATTTATTATTAGAAAAATTTTAATTCCACCCAAGGTCGCGGGCAAAACTAGTATATTTCAAAGTTTTAACAATATTTGTGTATTTATACTTACTTTAAAACAAACATAACACTGATGCGTGTTTATTTTTAATTTTTTATTTTTTGCAACTTTATTATCATTACTGTTTTTATTATCATTATTTCTTGAACCATTATTTTGTGACTTCGAATCATTATTTTGTGATTCCGAATCATTATTTTGTGATTCCGAATCATTATTTTGTGATTCCGAATCATTATTTTGTGATTCCGAATCATTATTTTGTGATTCAATCTCGTTTTTATCCTTTTCATTGATGTTTAAATTATTATTGA